AATAAGATATTTTTTTTTTCCTTTCCTAGTAACGTAAACAAGCAACACTTAGCCTGGCGGCGGGGCTAATAAAACATAGCGGGCCGCCAGGCTTATAATACACTGGGGGAAACCCTGAAATATTAAATGTAAAACACATGTCTGAGTCTTTTTTTTTTTTAGCAAAGAAAGGTTGTAAAGTTGCAGAAATGCTGTGCTGGATTTTCTTGCATCGTCTTGAAAAGTTGGTTAACAAATATAATTGATTTTTCAAGTTTTCCTAGTCACAATTAATATGGGGCAGGACAGAAAAATACTTGAATAGAATGTAATGTATATTTTATTGTTTGGAAATATTGTAATTTTATGAAAAATTACAAGTTGTTTTAGATTTTTAGCTTTGTTTTGCCATGTTTTATCATTTTGGGTTTTGAGTTACTGACCAAACATACGTAAAAATCCACACTAATTTAAAAATCTAATAAACGGTTTATACCTTTTTGGTGTAAACATTTTTAAAGGTTTCTGGAAGTATTGCAAATTTTAAAATGGTTCCAGTAAAAGTTTATTAAAATACCTCCACCTTCCAAAATAGAAAAAATGGTTTCTTACACCAGTCAGTAACCAACTGGAAAATTATGTAATTTATCCAGTCCCCCCTTTTTTTTTCTTGAAAGTGAGAGATTTTCTTCCAACCAAAGTTTCTGTACTTGCGCTTCATTATGCTTCTCCAACATGGAGGTTAGAAAGATGCTATGCAGATACAGCTGCAGTCTGGCAAAGCATGCTGCCTAAGTGCTCTGTTATTAGCAGTTACTAGCATTTTTACTCTGTTTATTCATTGATAATTAAGTTTCGGTGAAGTTCCAGTTATTCATCTGTGTACAATGTTTCTTGAAAAGGCTCCCCTACTTCAGCACTTTGCTTTGAACATGTTGCAGGTTCCAGCTTGTCTCTGCGTACCTCTCCTCTATCTGAGCACATGCAGGGGAGGTCACATTGTAAAATTGGTCTCTCACTTTGTCATTTAAAGGCTAAACAATGCTTGGACTGTAAAAGAAAACCCAAATTCATGAGATCAATCAAACAGTTCTGCAGGCTATAATTACTGAGGACTGGCTTTCCTAACAGGGCGTCACAGATTGCTAGGCTGGCATAATCATAGATTATAAACAAATTACAGGTATATAGGGGCTTATGTCATGGATAATTTTAAAAATACTTGATGAGGACCCAAAGTTTATGCCTGGGGTCAGATCAGAACATCCTTTTAGGAGCCGTATTCGTTTGAAAGAAAACTGAAATGAAAAAAGAAAGTAAGAATAAGAAAAAAGTGAGCTAGAGTTCTCTCATAGGGCATCCAAGCAAGGTTTATGGTTTCACTGCTCCTAAAGGCCACATTAGACTTCTTAGAAACTTCTTAGAAACCCAAGTTAACGCTGGGTTGGACGTTATAAGCTTGTTTTCTTTTACTGTTAACATTTAATCAGGTGCCTGGTTTGTAATATTTAGAATTCCCCTGTGGGGTATAATAAAGCATCTCTTATTCAGTGTTTTTTTTTTTTTTTTTTGCATCGTTTTCTTCCAGAAGCCCCCACACCCAATGGCCCAGAGTCGCAGCAAGGTGGTGAGGAAGATGGAGCCGAAAAGGAGGAAGAAGGGAGCGAGGACGAGTGGGAACAAGTGGGTCCCCGAAACAAGACTTCAGTCACACGTCAGGCTGACTTCGTCCGCACACCCATCACTGATATTTTTGGTGGACACATCAGGTACACGAACATGTTAAGAAGCTTTTCTAATGTCTCAAACTTCTGATCTGTGCTCTGTGGTCTGGATCTGTAGCATCCATGTTCTTTTTCACCTACACTCAAGGTGGTGTTACAAATTGCTTTGGCATCTCCAGCCTTTACTCTTAATCCTCCGTAGTTCTTTGTGGCGAGAAGTCTCGACAGCAAGACGTTAAGCTGCCCTCCACAAAACAAAAGTCTTAACTTTTGGACAAATTGGAAAGAGAAACTATCACTTTTGGCCACCCAAATGATATGTTCTGTGTAGTTCTGGTCTAACACATATTTTGTGCACTGTTTTACTATGTCTGAAAAGATTATTTTCTCAGAAACGGTTGTGTGGCCAAACAGAGACAGAATTCAGGAGGGGTTTTATCAGACATACTTTGCACACCAACGCAGCTTGGCTGCAATCCACGGGTCCTTTAACGCATCAGTGGGAGTAATTGGTTTGTCTTGAGTTGCTGCAACACTTATTAAACTACTATCCACAAAATGTCTAAGCCACTATTAAAAAAAAAATGTTTTACCTTATAAATACCAGTATTACAGGAAGCGTTTGCAGTTTTAAAATGTTTTAAAGAATATCCTGCTTTTAACATTTTCTACAACTAAACTTCAGTTATTTTGATGTAATGTGTGTCTTTTGGCATTTTCTTTACAGATCCGTGGTGTATCAGCAAAACTCTAAAGAGTCGGCCACCCTGCAGCCTTTCTTCACCCTGCAGCTCGACATCCAGTCTGAGAAGATCCGCACAGTTCAGGAAGCTCTTGAAACGTTGGTGGCCCGGGAGTCGGTCCAAGGCTACACCTCCAAAACCAAGCAAGAGGTAGATCCGCAATACTGTGGTTTATAAAACACTCAGTTGGACGTTGCAGTTGTACTTCAGTGACATCGAATCTCACAGGTTGTACAGATAAAGGGCACAAAAACATGTGCTGCTGTAGTTTTGGAAAGTTATGTTTTTTCCTGCCTTGAATTTAGTGATAAATTTGTTTAAAAACATCCAACAGCATATGGTGAGTTTTTGTGCTTGGAAGTCTCATGCATTCCATGAAAATTGACATTCCCAAACTAAGAAAAAAAACTTTGTAATTTGTTGGAGGGGGGGGGGGGAAACGTATAGGTTGTCAAAAATTGTAAATAAAAAAAATTATTTCCAAATCTACGGTATTGAGCTCAAGCTTTTGATAATAGTTCTAATAAATCAAGAAAGAACACAAAAAACTTTTCTCCTACTTCTGAGATTCTATGAAATGTGTTGCATTTATAAATTAAATGAGCTTTTATAAGGTGACTTTTCACCTGTGTATTTGTACTTAATGAGGCACTTGGAGGAAGGAATTTCCTTTTACATATTTTCTAGTTGCTTTAAGCCTTTATGGACCTCACAGGTATTGCTAAAAAAACATTAGTGCTTAACTAACTGATGGAGTGAACATCTGCATCACATCTGTTCACTGCACCACAGGCATCTTTATAGGCGTTTAAAGTTGTAAGTAGCAAATGATAAACTTTTGGATCATTTTGGACTTAAATAATTTGATCCACAACTTGCCTGTATTGGTACTTAAAAAAAACAACACAGCATTGAGTGATTTATGACTCCCTCCTCTTGTTCTGTACTTGAATCGTTTCTCTAAAACAAAAACAAAAATCATCTTATTCTCTTAAGCTAAGTATCCTAGCGTGCCTTTAAAACTCGGATATGTTTTTTGTGCTGTACATCATGTGACTCTTTCATCTCTTTCTTTGCGTTTGCGGTCAGATTGAGATCAGTCGGAGGGTAACGTTGGAAGAGCTGCCACCTGTGCTTGTGCTCCACCTCAAGCGATTTGTCTTTGAAAAGACTGGAGGCTGCCAGAAACTCACAAAGAACATTGATTACCCTGTTGACCTGGAAATCAGCAAAGGTATGAATGGACCGGCACTCTGCAAAGCTTCTGCTGACTTTAATGTTTCAGAGTTTAAGTTTTGCTTATTCAGAACGTTTCTATTTGGCCTCAAAGCTGCTGCTGCTGTTTTTATAGAGTTGTTCAACTTGAGCCACGAGGATAATACTGCAGCAGAGGCTGTATTTAATTGAGGTTTATGCAATTGTTTTAGCATCTTGGTCTAATCAGTAAATATGCCTGTATCAACTTTGCTTTCAGATCTCTTGTCCTCTGGAGTGCGGAGCAAAGTTTTGAAAGGCCAAAGAACTTACAGGCTCTTTGCAGGTTTGTTGGTTTTATTGTTTCGATCACATTGTTGTATTATTTGCAAAATATGTTTCTGTAAGTCACTGCTGGAGGCGATATTTACTCCCACCCTATATTAACAACGTTTAAGTGTTTTCAGCCCCCATATAACTGTTTGGAATCCTTCAAACAACAAATCCTGACAAGCTCATCATTAAGAGACACTGATTTCTCTGTATCAGCGTGAAAATGCACAAAGAGCAGAAGCTTCTTAAAGAGACAGAGGCCTAATTTCAAGGCGTTTCATTGTGAAGTCAAATTCCTTGACATGTATTATTCCTACAGCTTTTTTATGCAATTTCTAGATTGTTCTGCAAAATTATAGATAGCTGGAAAACACATACTACCCCTTTAAATGAAAATTAGTGGAAGTTGAGGACTGGATATTGAAATTGATAAAAAAAAAAAGTGTTTTGAATTGTGCAGCGCTATTAAAATATATCAACTCCTTTTTATTTCTATGAAAACTAAAAAAAAATTGTCAATAGTTGATTAAACTGAAGAGGTTTAAAAATTAGCATGTTAGATAATTTCTGATCTTTGTACGACTTACAATTACATCATTCAGTAATGCAAAGTATTTGTAAACTGTAGTTAATTGATGTATTTGCGCCACATCTGCTAGCAAAACATTTTTTCCTGCTTAAAAAAAAATAAAAATAAAACAAACACTTGAACTAATCAACTGAAACTTGGATCCTGATGTTTCCCACAGTTGTTTACCACCATGGAAACAGTGCGACAGGCGGCCATTACACCACTGATGTCTTCCACATTGGTCTTAACGGCTGGCTGCGCATCGACGACCAGGCGGTGAAGGTCATCAACCAGTACCAGGTGTTGAAACAGACGGCCGAGCGCACCGCCTACCTGCTGTACTACCGCCGCGTCGACCTGCTGTAGACACCCCTTCACATCCCCCCACACACACACAATACACACACACACACACACACACACACACACACACACACACACAAACATGTTCAAAATGCACTTGCTGACAATAAAGTGCTTCTGCATACAACACAAAAACACACCAAACTAATGAACAGGAACACTGCCCGACTTGTTCTCTTGCAAGATTTTCCTCTTCTTCCCTCCTGTCCCCGCTTTCCAGAGAACCAGCTTTTCCAACGCCTTTTTCCTTGTCCCCTCTTTTTTTTTTTTTTTTTTTATTCAGAAGAAGAGAAACAAGCTGCATTCACAAAGATTTCCCTGTGACTGCTCTCTTTTTTTTGTTCCCCACTGTTGTTTTTTTTTTTTTTTTTTGTCATCTTTTGTTTCACTTTTGAAGCAACAAGGAAGGACTGTTGAACAGACAGACGGGTGGGGGATGCAGGTTGGGGACCTGAGACTCTCCTTGGACTGAGCCCACAGCTTGGCTCTGATGGCGAACAGTGAACTCACACAGGAGGAACTATCAACCAGTACGCTGCGAGTGGACTGCAGGAGAAATTGTCTTCAAATAATCTTTTTTTTTTTTTTTTTTTTTTAAAGAAAATGACCTAAAATATCAGTGTTTGCCTTTTAGCAAAGGAGAACTGTCGGCCTAATGGTTTTGCAGCAGTTTCAAAGCTTGCTGTTTGCCCCTGTGCTTTGAAAAGGCCCAGCACCAGCAGTATCACCAGTCTCATTCCGCCCCTCCCCCCCCAACAACCAGATTGTGTTCTTCTTCAGCCACCACCACCTCCTCTTCCTCCTCTTCCATGTTCTCACTTTTATGATGCTTTTAAACCTAGGTACAACTTGAGCCATAAAAAGCAGAAAGGAATAAAAAAAAAAATGAGAGAGAGAGGTGGTGCTATGGATGGAAACAGCTTCCTTGTTTATGAATGATCCTTGTTATGGGATTTGGGTTTAGATTTAGAATATTGTTGAGAAGAATTTATTAATGCGCTTTAGAATTTAATAACAAATAAGCTTCTGTGCACAGAGAATAAACTGATGAATACAATGTGACAGGCAAATGCATATTTTACAAATATTTAGATTGAGATGTATTAAAAAGAGCAAATTTAAAACGAAGGAAAAACTGATCTGGTTGACAGAAAACAGTTCAGGTTCTGGTGGACTGTTGCCAGTTTTTAAACGCAGTTCCTGTTCTGGACAAGAAGCAAAAATGATCAAGACGGATTCCACTGCAAAACCTGCCCTGTTGACTTTTTTTTATTTTTTATTCCTTATGGGTTCTTTTTTATTTGCTTGTCAGAGGCATCCACTTGTGTGCTTGGTTTATACATGTAGTTTTGAGCCACACAAATGCTACTTTCCCCCTCAACTGTGTTGTTACTGGGGGCTCAGTGGCGTTTTTCCCTCTCCATGTACAACTCTTAACATCACATCTCTGAAGAGTCAAAGAAATCTGAGCTTTTTCTGGGGTTTTCTTTTTGGATTCTCCAGAGAATCAGCGAGTCGTGTTGGGAAATTTAGGACTACATAAATGCTAAGTTTTGAATAGAGATCTTGGTCATGCACACAAATGGAGATCGTGTTTTTTTTTTTTTTTTTTGTTTAAATATTTTTTGGCTCTGACTCATTTAACTGTGATTTTTTTTTGGTTTTGTTTTTTTTTGGCTTTACTAAAATGTTTTATTTTACTTTAATTTTTGTCATTAATTAGATGTTGTACTGCTCTTGCTCCTTTTAGAAAAAAAAATATGCTTGCATTTGGAATTGGTGTTTTCAGAGAAATTAAAGTCTAAAGCACAACAAATAAAAGAAATAATAGTTCTTTGCTTGATATTTATTTCCGTTTTTGTCTATTTTTTTATGATCTTCACTCCAAACCCATTTCATTCCAGCCACAAGTGTCATCTTCACAGACCAACACATCAATTTTTTTTTCATGATTCTGGAATCCAAATGTTTCTTCTGTCTCATCTAGACTTGGGTTTGGACATCCATCAGTCTGCTCATGAAAGGTATATGGGCCAGACTGTTTTGATGTTTTGCTGCAGGGTAGCATACATTTTCTGTCTTGCAGAGATGTGCATGTTTGAAATGAGTCACCATGCCCTTTCATCTAAAGATTACACTCTTTAGATTGACTAAATTTTAATGTTTCCAAAAGCCTTTTATTGGATTTTATTTCTGCTCTGCTCGATGTTGCGTTGTAGGTTAATGAAGTCAAACATTTCCAGGTAAACCAAAGGACAACATTATACTGCCCCTACTGCCTTCCATCAACTTTCTACTCTGACTTCCTTTCTTTTGCCTTGTCCATTCGAGGTCTTGTCTAGTCTAATTGCACACAGGAAGTGGCATGCTCTGTAAACGGTCGATCCATCTTTCACATAGTTCAGTTGTGCTGCTGGCTTTTATTTGTGCTGAAATTCGAACACTGTTTTGTGTATTAACCCTCTTTTTTTTTTTTTTAATTAAAAGAATGTGTCTCCATGGGAACGTGAATTGGACACCTTGAATTTTTTTTTGTTGTACACTTGTATCTTGGCTGGTTAAGAAATGTGCTGGAGAAAAGCGTCTTTTTTTTTTTTTTTTTTTTTTAAATGTCTGCTCTGAACACTTTAGTCTGCTGGGAACTGTTGGGATCTTCAACCAGAAACAAACACTGTTTATTTGAAGCCTTCAGCATTCTATTTTGTTTATTGTTCAATAAAAAAGCAGTAAGCTAATCAAGTGTAGTCTGAAGAGTACCTGGCTTTCTTACGACAGAAACCCTTCTGCAGCTTCTAGACCTTGGACTGGCCAACACAATGTGCACAATAAACCAAAATGTTCTAGATTCTTGGTCTACCGCACATCTTTAATTACCTTCCTCTTGTATGTCTGTGTGTAATTGTCCTTTGTTATACCTTCTCCTCCTGAAGTTGATCTGGCTGCCTCTCGGCCCGCAGTATTTGTTGAGGTTGTGGCTGAGCTCGGCTCGCTTTGCCGTAATGGGAAGCAGACCCACAACTGAAAAATTTGCAAAGTAAGGCATTTCTGTGCTACTATATTCCATAGTGGTATTACTTCCTTGCTATAGGTGTCCCCTAAAATAAAAGCACTCATTTTCTTTCGAGTCTACAGGCTTGGGAAGAAAATTGCATGTTGGACATGTCCAAGCCTCGTTGGATGCAACGACTTTTTCTTTCCTTCATATTTGTTTATTTTTTTCCCCTTATAGATGAAACATCCACTGGGATTTTAAACAAATGCATCACTTCTGATGGTATACTTGGATTGTTCCAGTTATGAGGAAATATTAACATGCAGGTGTAGTCCAGTACGTTTGATTAGAAACTTTTTTGATAAACCATTCTATAGATGCCTAAACCAGTGTTTCCTAACCCTGGTACTCAAAGCAGGCTGTCCTGAATGTATTAGGCGTTTCCCTCCTTTATGTGCCTGATTCAGCTGACTGCACTTCAGCAAACTGTGTGAAATTGTCTGTTAATCAGCCGTCAATTGAAATCAGCTGGGCTAAAGCAAAGAAACACATAAAACTAGCAGGGCAGTGTGCCTCCAGGACCAGGGCTGGGGAACACTGACCTAAACTCGAACGTGGCTGTGTTGAAAATTTTCCAATGAACAGCTCGTTAGCAGACCTTTGCCAAACTTGATGGCACGCTGAAGAGGTGTTTGAGCACAGATGTATCTGAAACCTGCAGGACGGTAAATCTACAGGACTAGATCAAGCACGGTAATGATGCCTTGACATTAAAGCAAATATTGGTAGTGTGGGTAGAGTCCCAAGTCCTGCAGAATGGAGTCAGCAGAGGGACACAGGAAGTTCTTCTCTGCCTTTGGACTTGATAAAACTGGACATACACCAGCAGATGACATGGTACCTATAATCTGATTCTGGAAACCTTCACACTGGACTTCAGGCAAGTTGGATTATGTAGTCCTCCCCTTCTTAAGACTCCCAAGATATTTTTTGGACCACTGTTTCTCCTCTACTTGTGCCATCTCTGGTGCAAAAGTGTCTCAACATGAGTAAAGCAGTATAGTAGTATAGTTATACTATAGTAGTTATAGTCCATGTGTTCAGTGAACCTGGCCAAAACTATTGAATGGCTTTGGTTTACAGTCCACAGTCATATTGATAAATAAAACTACCAGAAATATCATCTTTGTAATGAAGATTCATGTCTTTTTATTGGACATCGGCTAACAGTTTAGGAAGCAGAAATATGATTTTTGTGCAATTTTAAGCTTCAATTTCAGTTATTTTGACTGAGGTTGTGTACATGTGCCATGTAAAGACTGATTTTAGTTCTTCAGTCACACTGGTCAAACGTTTTTCTCACCCTCAATGGATTTGTTTTATTTAATCTGGACTTCTTATATTGTAAGCTTTTTATATTCACTTTTTTTTACTATACACTATATGTTTATATCCTGTAGTTGAAATTATTTACATGTGGCTCTCTTCGAGGTTTACTGATCTCTCAGTGTGGTTTTCCACTGAAAGTTAAGCGCAAACATTTGCAGATTAGGATTGTTGCGTTCAGGGTCGTTTTGAAGAGCAATTCAACCCCAAACAGCCCTTTATCACAAAACCACTCGTTCCACTCGCTGATCCAATCTCTTTTCCAAAGTTTTTAACCATTTGATTGTTGCAAACCTGCATGCCAGTACTGCCTGTAAACTTCCCTAATGGAAAGCTCTTTATGGTGGAGGTTGATCTATAAAACGGAGCATTCTGGATCCCAGCTTACTATGAAGTGCTAAATAAACAAGACGAAGCTTCAGTTGCGTAACCCTTCTAGTGTCTTCAGGGCAAAGTTGTGCGTTTCCATTTGGCCTGGATTGAATTATTTATCAGGTCTGATGGAGCTGAGAAATGAGTCACTGCTCTGAGGGGGGAAAAAAAGCACCATAAAATAAAGTTTTTAAACAACATTTTCAACAACTGCCAAAAACCTGCTAACTCAGGACTTTCATTTGCAAATTAAGGAATTTTAGAGCTAAACAACTAAATAGGTCTGGTTGTTAAGATATATTAACCAAATATCTAAACTGTTAACTTGTTACTGAAGTAATTTTTCTTGGACTTCTTACTTCCTCTGCATGGTCTGGTTATTTTC